AGAATTAGGTATATACTAGGTACTTTAGAAACTGATAAATATTGTGTGACGTCACAATTTAATTATACTGAACCTCTCAGTGTTAAACTTACATTTGTTTTATTTAAGTATTGCTATCTCATGACTCATGACACAAAATAAAAAATTGTGTATTAAATATTTTTTATTACCAATACGGTGGATTAAATAAACTTTTAATTTTCATACTTTGACGTCATCCTTATTTACTTAATTAAATAACCACGAAAATATTATTAATAATGAAATAAATACTGTAACGCTGGCTGCCTTGCAGTATGCCTGCTTTTTTCCTTCCTTCTACATTCGTTCCATAACAAACTTGATCCTTTATTATAGTGCTATATTGTATAGGTGATCATATAGATATTTTCCTGGCGTGTGTTGTGAGGGTGTGTGTGTGTGTGTGTGCGCGCATGAGTGCGTGTGTGAGTATGTACATATGCATATGACCCTTCCAATCTGTTTACTCTACAGTGACAAAAATAGAATTCAAATTGATATTATGCAGCACTAACATGTGTGGAATAATTATTTATATTAATTTGCAATTATTATTTACCGTACACAGCGGCGATTTCAATGTCATTCGGTAATATCTTACTTTACGTAGTATTATGTTCTGTAAAATGCATCTGTTCATATTATTGTCATCTGTAAAAGTAGGTACTATTTGCATGTAGATTAGGTATATTTGATGAAACAAAGAAATATTTGTGTGTTCCGAGGCGACCGAGGCGACCCAGGCGTCACTCAGCCATAGCTTTGCACCAAAGCTCTCTTTAACTGAAAACACACTGCAATGATTTACTTAGATACCGAAACGTCATCTGCTGCAGCTGACAGGTACTTGGTAAAAAAATTGAGAAATATTCAAGCATTTTTTTTTCTTAATTGCAGAATATAAATACTCATGTAGGTACCTACCTACCTACGCATCGTAATCTAATCCGAAGTTATGAGATACCAAAACATTAAACTATAATTCACTAATCGTTCTACTAAAAGCTTGTACCTATTGTCCCAATAAAAGGCAGTGACAGGCAGCCACCATCAGCGCCATCAGCTAAACAAACGAGTGGGGAGCGGGTGTTTGGACAGCAGCACAATGTGGCGGATACGAACGCGAAAACGAACCATTATAAGGACGATAAAGGAACGTCTTTAATAGCATTGAGTTGAGGTGTCGCGTCCCGCTGCCGCCCCTAATGACGTAAGTCGAGCTCGCACTCTTTTGTTTTGTTTCCGATAACCGCCGCAATCCGCTCCTTATTGGGTTACCGCCTTTAATCATTGACGCGCCGCGCTCTGTAATGTAACCGAGCCGAGCCCTAACGACAGGAACGACGAGCAATCAATACGCAGCGCCCGTCACCTTGTAATCAATACCCTTTGAATCAACAAATCAAAAATATTAATACTTCATTGAGTCGTAGCACTCGTACTCCTAACTACATGAACTCTGCGCGCAACCAAATAGTTGACTTCTCTTACAGATAAGAAACAGGCCAGTTAACGATGACAGGTATAAACTACCTAATATACAAAGTTACGCGGACACGGTACGGGCAAGATGAAGTTGTGATTAATTTTACTATGTACTTATGTAGGTAGTACCTACATTATGTCGCGGAGAACCTAACGGGTAACCGGGGCTCCGACTCGACGTGCAGGAGAAGGAACGGGGTGGTTTTTAGTCAGTAAGAGTCTGACACTCCCTCCCGCCTCACCCAGGCGGGAGCAGTCATTCGATGATTTTCCCCCCTTAAAAAAAAAGTACCTACATTATGATGTATTCACATCACAAATAATGTAACCACACCACACTACACACCGATAAGAAAAAAATATTTTTCAAAAAATTCACGACTCACTTCGTTTCATAGTTCCTTGCTAATCATTATAGTACGTATACAATTCAACCGTGTTTAGTTGTTTACCTTCGATATAGTTCATTCGAGCTTCGATTAGTATTCTGTGTGTCTGTGTCTGTGTGTGTGTGTGTGTGTGTGGGTGTGTGTGGGTGTGTGTGTGTGTGTGTGTGTGTGTGTGTGTGACGTGTTATTAGAAGTGCTAATAAAAATTTTGGATTACTAATGCATTATTTATTTTATTTTATTAATCTAAAGCAATGGTTAACATAAAACTCAAGAAATTAACTAAGGCTTTAACTGAAATTTTAAAGACTCGTGTTTAAAATTCCCGTTAAAACAATTTGTTATTTATTACACATCACATCAACAGCCTATAGGTAAATGCCCACTGGAGCAATGGCCTCTTCTCACACGGAGAAGGAATGTGTACCTAATTTAGCAATTACTATTTTTGTGAAGTTTCATAATTTCGTGTTTCCGAGTGAAAGAAGATTATTTATGTCGGAATGCTTGAAGTTTTGCGAAAGAGATGAATGAACTATAGTATCTAATAAATATATATTTTTTTCTCAATATTTTGTATCTTACATTTGAATATGTATTGAGTAGTGTAATTGGTTTTTTGTACCGTTCTATTCGTATAAATAAATAATAAGTACCTAAATAGTCTTATCCTTATTCTCGTGAATTAAAGCACAAAATTCATTAAAATTATTGTAAACAAGTCAGTTACAATAATTATGTAGATGTGTGACCTCATAATACCATGTCTACCATTGCCGGCCTTATGATGGGACACCGGAAGGTGGCTGATGGAACCATGGACTATGTGCTTATGATTAAAAGTGTGATTTAACATGTTTGGTAGCGCAAACGTCTGTTAGCGTGTGTGACAGTTCATCATGTGATCGTAGGTGTATATATAATTACAGTATTATTAAAAAAAAATAAACGATAGTACATAAGGCGGACATTAATGCCATATGGCATTCTCTCCCAGCCCACCTAGGGGTTTAATAGAAAATCGGTGAAAAAATAGACATGTGTATAACAAAACATGATAAAGATAAAGATATTTTTTATTTGCGTTAACATGCGTAATATTACAAGAGTACATGCAATGGTGTTAAGTTAATAAATAACATAAATATTTAGGTATATGCATGCATATATGACTATATGTATATATACTAAATAAATTAATTCTGTAATATGTAATACATATTTTATACAATAAACATATCTATTATTATATAATAAACAATGACCGAGACTCAACGTTGTAGTGACTTTAAATAGAATTCGTGAAGTCTTCGACTAGTTAATCCCGGGCTTACTAGGTAAGTATTAACTGCATGATTCAATCTCTATTAATAACCATGAAGTAACCATAAAGTGGATAGTGCACGTATTGTGTGTGATGAGACAGTCCACAGTCAGTTACTGTACCTACTGTAGTATAGTATTGTACAGGAACTGTATGGACGAGAGTGCATGTTGGCGAGTGTGTATGAATGTGCGGAAAAATGTGTGTTAGACAGATATTTTCTTAGGTACACCACGAAATTAAACAAACTTTTATAATGTTTGCTATTTACAGCTCATATTGAGCTGTAAATAGCGGTTAACATTTTATGTGATAAAACATATTAGGTATTAAAACATATTACATACGCAATTATATATATACCGTACGAGATCTTGTCTCGCCATTTCTTTTCTAATTACCTACGCATATTCTAACAGTTTGAGTATTTGTGCGACCCACGCAAATGTTCTTTAGGTTGGTGTTGTTCGTCGAATCAGTCAGCCTCACCTGTTAATTAAGCTGATTGTAAACCGACACATGCGTACTGCCTTCAGAGCGGGTCCGCTCAAACTGTTGTGGTTCTTTCCTCAAAAGGCCACTACAGAAAGAACTTGCACGGTTCTCACACATAATCTTTTATAGGTAGGTACTCATTTGTCTGGACTTTAAAAGAGACAGTCCTCTGAGTTTGTTTCGGCATTTCTTCTGAGAGTTCTCAGTTAGAAAATGTCGACCTCATCATTCGCTTAATAAAATTGACGTGTAAAAGTGCTGCCTTGTAGCCTATTTGCAGAAATAAATTCACTTGTTTCACTATATATTTTTTATCTCCTTATTTCCCTGCAATGTGCCATACTTGGGTTACAAGTGCATTTGCAATTCGAAGCATTTTTGATTAGAAGCGTTGTATAATGTCCAAGTTTGAGTTGGCTGCCGTTCTCCAGAGTTCTGATCCTTATGACCATATTGATTTTAATATAACTTTATAGAGGAGAAGTTTGTTGGTTGATGACAGGTTTGTCTTTCGTGCCATGAGCTTTCCTTTTAGTGAATATATGCTTCTTCCAAGTTAATCGTTTGTCCGAGTATATTCCTAAGTAGCGCACGTCGTTCAACTGAGGAATTGTTTTGCTATTGAAAACAACTGAGCGGCATGATGCATGTCTGAGGTGAAGGTTACATGTACTGATTTCATTAGCTTTTATTCTCCAATCCTTTAACCAGGCCAAAACGTCATTAAGGCTTTTTTCGTGTGGTGCAATAAGAGCAAATCATCAGCGATTGTCCCTACGAGGACGTCGTCGAAAGTTGGTAGGTCAAAAGTATATATTAGGTATAAGATAGGACCCATTACACTGCCCTGAGCAACACCTGCTTAGATTTTATAAAGATTACTTCTGGCTTCTCTGTGTTTTACATAGAAATGTCGTTGTTGGAGGTATGATTTGATGATGAGATAAATGTTGATTGGTAAGGCTTGTAGGATTTTAAATAAGAGTCCCTCGTGCCCCACACGATCGAAGGCTTGCGATATGTCTAAGAATGCCACTGAGCAGTGTTTCTTCTTTTCAAAACCATGATTTATCTTTTCAACCAAACGATGTACCTGTTCAATTGTCCCATGAGCTTTGCGAAAGCCAAAACGCAATTATATATATAATTGCGCATATGCATTAATTATTATTATTATTACCATTTATTTCAATCAATTACATAGATCATTAATTACACATTACAAACCATAATACAATATAAAAGTCACAATCACAAGTCAGTCATCACTAAAATAATCTCCCAACTCAAAACAATAATTTCACATTAGCCAGTACATGAACCATACAACAGTGGTTCATGTACTGACAGTCAAAACGTTCAGCAAAGGCGCTCAGGATACTATTGCGGCTGCCCCGCACCCTGTTCACTAATGACGTGCACCGCTTGCGCATGATTGTGTTGAAGCAGTCTACCCGTGCGCTGGCAAACATACCCGATGCGCTACAAAAGCGAGGCAGCCCCAAGAGCATCCTGAACGCGTTATTGTATTGAACACGCAGAGCGCTGTACTGTTTCTGCGTATAACTCAACCACAAAGCCCCCGTATAGAAAGACGTACAAAATGCTCTAAACAAGGTTATCTTGACATTCTCCGAACATCTTGCAAATCTACGGGCTATCATATTCGCACGAACAGACAGCGCCCTACGCTCCCGCTCAATATCAGCATCGTCTTCCAGGTCTGAGGTCAGAATATGTCCAAGATATTTAAAAGTATCTACTCTCTTGAGAGGGTGTCCATTTAGAATTATTTTTGGTATCTGAGCCGGACATCTCTTCTTGGCCCGAAAGACCATGCACTCGCTTTTCTTCGTGTTGTAAACTAAACCATGCTTTTCAGCATACTGCTGACAAATGCCAATCATCCTCGACAACCCGCAAACAGAGGCGCTCAGCAGCACCATATCGTCAGCATAGCTGATATTGTTTATGCACACCCCTCCGACATGACAACCTACATGCGTTCTGCTGAGCTCCTCTATCAGCGCATTCACATACAGGTTAAAGAGCCTCGGAGAGGTCAGTCCTCCGATAGACTTGGGCATTGTCGTTCACTTAATGGATCTAGTTCATCAAATCTCGTTCCGTCAAGTGAACTCGTTCCGCTAACTCGTTCCACAGTTCATTTCGCTCCGGAGTTGATTTGGTAGGCTGGTCAGTCAGTACTACTGGAGCGAAATGAACTGTAGAATAGACATGTTTTCGACCGAGTCCGGATTTGGAACTTGTTTAGCTATTCGTTCATAAACTGTGAACTATAACAATAAGATACGTCACGTATGAAATTCAGTTATAAAATAGATTCGATTTCCCTTCATACTTTTTTCAGGCTTAGGACTGACAATTAAAGTGACTCATATGAATTAATAAACGTACTTTTCACTTTAAAAATCGACTCTATTTACAATATTTTTTTTATGTTTCTTTTTTTTGTTTTCTCTAATCACATGTATGAATTATTAAACCCATTTTTAATGTTAAAAGGCGTAAGTATTTAAAAATCGACCCTATTTACAATTTCGTTTTTTTTTTAATTTTAATTCTAAAAATTCTGAAAAAAACGTAAAAGATTAAAAGTAACCTTTTCATTCGTGTAACCTAAAAGTAACCAAAGCAGTTCAAAAATCACCTAACAGGTTACAAAAGTAACCTTGTGGCAACGCTGCTCTCGTTCCTACCTACACACACTGACGCGGGCTTAGACTAGAGAAGCGGGAATCGGGATTATATAATGAGCCGGTGAACGACAGAGTAAAATAATATACCTATACAGGAGCTGGAGCGGTGAACTGTGGAACGATAATTCCGCACAGTACTGAATCAGTTCAGTTCGTTCACTGTGTTTGAGCAGTTCATCGGAACGAATCGCTCCGGAGTTACTCAAGCCTAGTATAAAAGTAATGGTATAACAAATACTTGTTATTTCATGCTTGGGTTATAGTGTACCTATATGTTAAGGAAAAAAGTTATGATATAATTAAAATTGTTTGTACAATGGGTGTCTCTCGCCATCAAACGTCAAAGTTTGGCGAGTTTATATTTCAGGTCATACATGTAAAATAGCAATGAATAAATTTGTTACAAAAAAGTACTCAATACAATACATAATCATAAAATCGTTTTCAAATCAGAGTTCCTAATTTGGAGTGATACCACGGCCTCACTGAGAACCAACGTGAAACAACGCTTGCTTTATGCGTTGTCGTCCGAGTGACGTTACAGCAGCATCCGTCCCCAATCTTCAAATCGATTATACCCAAATTTGCTTAAAAAAATTTCCAGCCCTCACAAAACGCCGGTAAAACTTGTAACTTTAAGTATTACGTACTGCCTTTAGTTTATGGCTCATCACTCTGTCAATGTCAAATTGACTTTGTCAGAATTTCAGAAATGTCATAGCTTTGACAGAGACTACAATTTATATTTAATGTCAGAATCTTGTGGAAATTTCTAACCTCTTAGTTAATATTTAAGTGTTCTTAAATAAACACTAACTGAAACATACATTATGTTTAAATCCCTGATAACCAAGTTAAATTGTGCCCAAACATCGCGTACATTTCACACCACCGCCTGCATGAATGAGGTGCGCCTCCTGAGTAGGCTAAGAGTGGTCGACAACTCGGAGATCGGTAAAAGAGCCATGGCTGAAGGAAAACCTCCTAAAGTTATATGTGTTTACAACAAGAAACGTAAGTAATTCTCTAACTTCTTCGCTATAAAATATTGCGTACAGGTATCTATTGTGTGCCACTTTATTACCTACTGGTATGTAACATTCAGTTTATAAATATTGTCCCATATCCAACCCGATATAAGTTAGAGTTGTTAGTGGACGGTTCATTTATCTGCTACGATAGACGACAGACAAACGCAACAGAAAGAATATCAAGTATGTACTCACTTTTCATTAAATGTGTTACAACTCCCAAATTGCAACTAAGTGTAGCAATTATTGTTGTAATGGGTTGCCTCAACTAATGAAGCATGATAGGTAGTTAATATTAATCACAAATCGCATATATTTGAAGAAACTAATTCTAATATAAATTATGTTTTCCCCTAAAACGACCCACTGACCATAAAGTCTTCTATTTGTTTTATTAAAAATTGTAGCAGAGGTACACTAATACATGCTACTGTGCCGTACCAAAGCCTAGTTATAATCGTTTATCATTAATTTCAGATGTGGGCTACATTGGGGACAGAGTGTTGGTAGCTATCAAGGGTCAAAAGAAGAAAGGTATCTTAGTGGGTTTGAAACAGAAACAAAACGTTAAAGTGCCCAAGTTTGACAGTAACAATGTGGTGCTAATAGATGACAATGGAACCCCACTGGGCAACCGCATCCATGTTCCAATCCCCACTATACTGAGGACCATTCTCAAAGAGAAGACACATTCTAAAGGAGCAGACTACACCAAACTCTTAGGAATAGCAACAAGATTTGTTTAGTGTTTATACTAGTGATGTAAGTTAGATAATGTAGATATTCATAAATTGTACATGTTATCTTAGTAATATTTCATTTGAATTTCCCATTTATAGGGACCTACACTATTTCATTCTTATTATAATACCTCACTGGGGTTTTCTCCTGTATGATAACTTTTGTGTGACAAATAATTACTTGGTGTAATCAAACTCACAATGTCAAAGCATAATAACTAACCATTTTTCCATTTTTGTTAGCTATGCAGCAGAGCAAGTAAGATATGCTGTTTGTATAAATACATATTAGGGGTATATTTATATTATCCCAACACAGAACCTTGTTAAATTTGTTTGCACTAGAGGTCCACTGCTGAACATTGGCTTCCAAGAACTCTGATTTGACCTGTAGAATATTGTTTATTACTATAAAAACAATAGGTAATGAAATGTAAAGGTCTAGCACACAGTAACATGTGCCATGACATAATTATCTGGTCCCACATTAACTGGGAAGTGTCAGAAAGAACAAATAAATAAAAACAACAACAATCATTGAAATTGAAAATTTTTAATAAAACATGTTCAGTTTCATTTAGAGTAGACTTTGTAAAGCTACCTACCGATGGAGATGAGCAGACGACACGACATCAGCATCAACAGTTCCTTTACCCACTCTACAGAGATATGTTCCAGACTTGCCCACTAATTGATTCGATATTATGGCCCACCCGCCGTGTTCCAATGTTTGCTCTATATGTCGTACAGCACACATTGACTTGTTAGACTTGCAAATTTATATTTAACTAGCGACCCGCCCCGGCTTCGGACGGGTGCAATATGCATGTATTATATATATAAACCTTCAAAAATCACTCTACCTATTAAAAAAACCACACCAAAATACGTTGCGTAGTTCTAAAGATCTAAGCATACATAGGGACAGACAGACGGCGGGCAGCGACTTAGTTTTAGGTATACTATATAGTGATTGCTAGAATTACTTTAAAACATCTTTTTGTATTATGAGAAAGAAATTTTCGACATATTTATGTAACTTTCGCTTACCTATCCAAATGACGTAATTTTCAAACATGAATTAGCCGTAGCCAGACTGTTTTACGTTGAATTAGTGATTGTTGTGATGCTAGTAGATGCAGGCAAGCTGTCTCGTGCTGAACGTGTAGTCGCGCGTCGGCCACTATCAAGTAGCTAAGTATATGATCCATATAATAATGCACAACAGCTGTGACTAGATATTAAGATTCACGTGCGTTCGCTTCTAAAGTATCGTAAGGTGCCGTTGACAACTCGGTAACATGTAAAACGACTTAATTATTATATTATAAACAACACACGACTATAAGAATTAACTATGCGTAATTAAAATCGCATGATAAATAACTATGTATATTTCGACTGATAAATCGGTCTCGAACGGATGAGCTCGGAAACATTCCTACAATATATTACAAAAAATTGATACATAATTAATACAATAAAATTACTCGAATACATACTAAGAATATTTTGTACATTCACTTTTAGTGGGACCGAGCCAGGCTTGCGCGCGGGCCAGCGCGCGCCGGCCGCGGTCATTTCAGGGCGTCGAGGACCTGCGGGGAGAGGGAGTGAGACAGGACAGGGAGGGGCACGGGCTGAGTGACGCATACTTTATACACAGCTACGTCTAAACAACTAATTTCGTAAAATTTTAACTGTATAAAATTCGGATAAGGCGATAAGATCAGTGTATAGAATTATTATTAGTAACGAGTACCTATACGAGATTATTACGAGAGCTCTACGTCCACTGACACTAATCAATGATCGTTGTTCATTCCTATTCCGCCAAGGAGCGGTGAGGTCCGATCGAAAAGGGCTCAATCGATTGGTATAGTGTCAGTGGAGTATTAAACATGGAGTAGATACAGTCTACGTCTTAATATTAAACATCTCGTCTGTGCTGCGCGGCTCCACGACGCGGCGAGTGACGTCACTCAGTGTTGGCACAAACAGTTCCGGACAACAGTCGAGTCAGCAGCCGTCCGCTAATCCTCAACCCAAACTACCGATGATGAACTTACAAGCTCTGTCCAAATAAAATACTAAATAACAAAATAAAGTAAAATTACTGCAACAAAAACTACAATAAAAATCTACGTCCGATTCGACTACGATAAAGATCCTCTAATGATTTATAACTATAATAAAATGTATGTATTACTTAAAGTTAAATAGATTTGTTTTAATGTATTACGATAGATCTAGCGCGGGTCGGTCGCGTCGTTTGTCGGCCGCCGCCGCGCTGCTCGCCCAGGCTATCTCGTCGGCTTTATCCACGTGTGACACGAGATTGTGTGGTTCCGACATCACAACTCCATTCGGCCAACACTAGGAGCCTAGTCTGAAAGTAGCGATGGAACGATATGTCGACTTGATAGCAAAGGCGAGCTTCAAGCAAGTTGATATTTTAAATTGATATATCACTCATAGTAATGAAAAAAATTGCAATGTACTCGACTTCGGCCTAACGAAGAATATAGGAGTAGCGACGCGACCGACACCAATTGAAATAGTGTTCTAGCTAGAGCGAAGGAGGCGGACGCGAGCCGCCTACACGTCCACCACCATCTTCTTGTGTATGTCAGTGTTGCCCACCACGTTGCAGAACTCCTCGAACGAGATCTTGCCGTCCTCGTCCTTGTCGGCGAATAAGATGGTCTTGTCCACGATCTGCTGCAACTGCGTGTCCTTCAGGTTGTTGCCCACCATCATCTTCAGCACCTGCAACGGGTCGCACTCACAGTAACCACACTGGTTGACCCGTGACCACTAATGTCACGTTTGCGTCGTCCATACCTGGAACAGTTCTCCGTTGGAGATGAACCCGTCGTTGTCCATGTCGTAGATACGGAACGCGAACCTCAGCTTGGACAGCTTGTCGCCCTTTACGCTGAACTGCGACACGCCTTGGATGAACTCCTTGAAGTCCACCTAAAACAACGCACAGAGCTGCAGAATTTATTTCTACTTACTCTATCATGGTAACTGCTCAAAGGAAAAGAGAAAGCACCTTCCTCATTAAAAAAATTCTTGGTTTAGATAGACAATGATGTAGAGTGCGTTACCTCTCCGTTCCCGTCCGCATCGAAGATGTCGATGACGCGCTGCACAAGTGGGTTCTGCTGTAGCTCTGGCAGTGACATGAACTCGTCGATGGACAGTGCACCGGAATTGTCCAAGTCAAGCTTGCGGAACCGCTTGCCCAGTCGCCGGATCTCATCTGCGTCGACTGCGCACACACACACACTTTGAGCGGAACTAGTCTAAAGGGACCGGCGGCAGACCAATCATGACACACTCGCACATCGCTACGTGTATATACACAATACACATTGCTCATCAAAATCTACCTACATACCTACTTAATTCATTTTCGTCTGTGTGTCATTTGGATCATTCGTCATTTATTGTATTGATAATGTATAGGTTTAGCTACTAATTTCGAATCCCCTGGTGTTATAAAGTCGACGTGTGCAGGTATTTTCTTGTTTAGCATGTAAAGATTATGTTATTTGTGTATTCAGCACATCACGTGACATCATGTGTTGACGTCACGGTCCCACTTTATAACACGTTACTTCATCTGTGCCCGCGGCAACGGACGGTGGACGCACCACGACGTGCTGAATGTTTCTTACAAATAAATGAACCATAATTCTCATGACACCCAGATAAAACTATGCAACACTTCCCTTTTAGCAGCATTTCCAAAAGATCTAAGTAACACTTATCATGGCACTTATCTACAGAAGAGCCATTCGTAGGTATTTAAGGTTGTATTATAAAGGAAGAGGCTTTCAATTGACTTCAGCCTTCATTGTTTGAGCAATTGGAGGTAAGTAATGTGTAGCGCAAAGACATGCAACGCAACACCAGATTGTGAAAAAATACAATTTAATACAACAATAATTAATTAACATCTACTCATGACATACATACATTTCATTTAATTAGAAACCTATTATAACGTCACACCTACGTTACACATCTACTACACAAGGTATTGTAGTCGGACAATAGGGACGCGCTCGCCGCTCGCAACTCGCCACACAAACACCACCGACATTACAAAAGCAAGTGTATCATCTAGTATTCTAGTGCTACTCTGTCCTCGGATAACATCCTTGCTCTACTTCTTTTGTCGTCTTTACTTATTCGTACACAGCATTGCTCTACTTTTTAAATGGCGGTGCGGTTCATATTATGGATTTTGTTTCAGAATGAAACACTTCAAATTACGAGTACCTATCGCGTAAAAGATTAGGTATGTCAAATTGAAAGGATTATAATAACCTATAGGGAAATGTAGGTTATTTATGTATCGGTAGCACTGATATTTAAATGGTATACCTAACAACAACAAACATATGCCATGAACTGTACAAGTACCTGTACTGTCAAAACATATTCTTTGGCAATAATTTTAGATTAACAACTAACAACGTCTTAAACAAATTTTATTATTTTTGGAACTCAGAACTTTTAAATGTTGTTTATTTTTGTTTGACGAAAGTTCAATAAAATAAGCCATCGAAGTGCCATTATTTTCTTATGTCGGCACATAAAGGTGAAACAGCAGCTAGACGAATTTGAAGTTTAAATTATCATATTACGTCCTTTGATTCTATTAATTAATGCCATTTAACAAATGATATTGATCGAGAAAAAAGAATATTATAAGTTGTATTATCTGCAAGTAAAATGTGTTCGAATATACCGCACACCTGTAGATTGAACGACTGCGCAGCCCTACAGTGAACGACGAAACTATAGTTTTAAACATCCTTGACCCACAACACCGACTAAAACAAGCCACGAAAAAGGTCAGCACATCAGTCTGCGTAATATGAACAAAATCAAAGAAGGCTTAGCAATCTACGACCAGGCAAACGTTGTCTTCACACCAAGCGCAACGAAGCAAGCCGTGGCTGAGCACCGACGACGTTACGACGTTACGCCGTTACTACCCAGTGTCCGAGCGGGAGCCAACCATCCGAGTTCTTTGTCCATACTCAATTAACAACATTTTACAGGTTGCTCTCCTTCAGACCGTTTTGGCGGCACGGATTTTCATTCAAACTCTTAAATCAAAATTTAAGTGTGGGAGAGCCATGCTCCCGTCGTGCGAGTGAATTTACCAGAGGCCCAAAAACAAACCCCCCACACGCGCACTTCTAACACAACGCCTCTGGTGTTCCAGGTGTCCATGGGCGGCTACGATTGCTTACCACATCAGGTGAACCGCCTGTTCAAACCGGATTACACCCAAAAAAAACTGAAGTCATGGAAACTTCTAAACCGATTTTAAAATGTTTGTATGTAGCATTTTAGACTGTTACATATGAATACTAAGTTTTAATAAAATCGGTTCTGAGTTCCAAGATTTTTTGGATTGATAAATTTGCTTGAAAACCCGTAGCGCGTAAACGGTGATCAGCAGACTCAAGGAACCAACTGGTCGTACAGGTGCCGAAATACATTTAATTATAACACTCGTTGGGATTAAGAACATATTGAAGCTACACGTCATTGTCTTCAATTGAGTGAAAATGGACTAAAGAATTTGGACGAATGACATCTCACGCTACGACATCTATACGAAAGAGATTTGGCAGTGGCAACAAATCAAATATTAGGTATATTATGGATATAATAATTCTAGACAATACACCCCAACAACTTCAATAACTCCCATTTATAATCACACCTATTAAGTCGATTGATAATACCAGCAATTATAATTAATAGTATTTATGATATAGGTATAGGCCAACATGTTTACTAAGTTTGTACAACAGAAGACAAATTCACTTTCTAGAACCACTGACCACTGCTAAGGGTTTATCATCTTATTCTTCCCATTTATTAAACTAGTGATAGATACCGGGCAAGAGAGGCCACTGCCAAGTATCAGGTACCTACCTAGTAACAGGCCACTGCTGGTAACAAAAAAGTATGTATACTATTTGTTTTTAACTCAAGGTGTGATTACAAACATATTTTAAATTAGATGTATGTGAGTGTAGTAGTTGGAATTACTAGTCCAAATATTTTAGAAAAGCACACATAGACTGCACCTAAATGTGTCATATATCATTGGCGTTTAAAACTTCCATAAGTCTTTCAAAGCATACTTTTTCTTAGTCAATTGCTGCTCCATGTTAGGATGTTGTGTGTTTAAAGTCACAACTCTCACCACTTCATATCTCCAGATCTTTCTCCTCAAATTTTAATTCAATGTTTTGTGCCCATCACAAGAGCCACACATGGCACAGCAGCTGATGCTTCCGTTCACTAAGAGAACTTGAGTTGACATGCTATAATGAAGTTCACTGTAGAAATGAATAAAGCCTTTAGACTTGTGGAAGTTGTTAGCTGACCTCTCTCCGTTGCATAGATTCCTCTCACCTAATTAGTACATGTAACATTCTAACATCCAGAGCTTAAAAATCTAACTAGAGGCTGGCTGTGACGCGGATGCACTAACAAAACATAACTATGGATCTCATGTAAAACTCATCCAGAACAATTTTTTACAGAATTGGTTAAGTTAAGGTGGAGGAATTATGCAAAATATAGCACAATAATCCTGATTATTTCAAAACATTTTACAGGAAGCTGAAATAGAATTAAAATAAAGAAGAAATATAAGAAAGTAGGGGAAATATTGAAATCAAAATACATTTTCCATATTGATACAATATGAGAAAATATAATTTCATAAAAAAATAGTGCTGCAACAAAATGACATGTAAGGGCAGCCTGAAGCCACTCTCTATGCTATAGACAGATGTCATGTTGATGGCTGCATTCAACTTCCAATTAGTAATTTATATCATCCTAATTAGTAACACAAAAATTGTTCTGGACGCTAATGTGTGTGCGTGCGGTACTCTAACATGTAGATGAACATCGGAGGCGAGTGACACTACGACACTCACAGTTCTCCACCTTAAAATCAATGCAGTTTACACGCGCTGAAAACAAACCTCTTGTTATGCTTTATTTGCACACCCTAAATGATATACATTCAAACGGACACTAGAGGTCCTCGATTGACCGCACTTAGTCATTTGGGGGTGAGCACATGTGTTAGCCACAGAGCTATATGTTAGTACATCAAAAGCATTAGTTACTCGATTATTGTGGAATTCATATGAGAAATTACTGTCAACAAGGTATATTATTACTGTCAAATTGTTAAATTGGGAATTTATTTAAGTAGGTAATAATGTTTAAGCTACTCATTAAAATGACTAAAACACTTTAGGCAAGAATTAAGCAGTTATTTAAGTGTTAAATGAAAAGACAAAATAAGAGTAGAACCAGAAAGGACAGATATCATACAAGTACATTAAGTACAATACTCACAGTTTGAACATAGTTCCATGGGAATAGAATTCTCGTTGCCCTGGAAAGTGAACAGGAACTCAATTACTATTTAGACAACATATAACATTTCAATTTGAAAATCAGTGTCGGTAAGCAGCTCTGTCTTTACGAGCACCGGCTACACTTCATTTAGATGGCAATGGGCCTGGCTTAGAGGTACGGTCAATCCTGTATTCCTAATTTCCTTATTCTAAAAATAATTAGCAATATTCAGAAATATCATACTAACCATTTTGTTTTGGTTTTAAATAGACCTTGTTGATCGAAATCAATCAGTTATTGGCAAAAAATTTGCAAATTCTAATCCGTCGCAAATGAAATCCACTGCACTTTCACACCATCGATCTAAATAAACGCACAGATTATATCAATCATAAACTTTTAATTTTACTACAGACTATAGAATACAGCACAGATAACCAAATTCTAATAGACTGCAATCCCAAGAAAGCAAACTAAAAAATGTGATTTTATTCATTACCCAAATATACGAAAAAAACATTTTCCAAAAGTTACCAAATATGTAAAAGAGACAATAACTTATTAAATTGTCGTATATCTTCATCGATGTCGATTGAAGAGCGGCATGCACAGGACGTGTGGACAATTTTAGTCAATATTTTAACGCTACAAAATGATTTTATCGAATCTTGAATGAGGTTTCTTTAATTTTTATAAATAAGAGCTAATTTTAATTTAACCGATACTTACATAAACCTTCACAAACCTATTTAACTTTCTTAACGTTAACCTATATGTACAGCAAAAAGTCGCCAGAAATTAGTAATAAATGTGTTATTGGATTCCATCTAGAATAAATTTAATGGTAGAGTAGATTGGGGTAAATACGACTGGAGTTAATTGGAAAAGTAAGAAATATTTTGTTTCCGTTAGTTATAGAGTAGGAAACGATAATGCTGATTACCTCTGGGTGATATACCTTTACCATCCGTAAGATGGTTGTATAACATAAAATTAAATAAAGGTAAGTGAATAGACTACATGCAAAGAATGCAAACTACAACAGTCTCTACCTTGGTCTCTACAGTGACTTTAGTTATTTTATGATGTGTGTCTTTACCATTCACGGGACCATAAGGCCTGGTCATTTAGGAATACGAGTGGCCGAAACCAACTTCGCAATGCGTAGAGGCCCATTAAACAACGTCTAAATGTAATGTAGACACAAACCGGCGGCTATTCTTGTATGCGGTATTAAAATGTACGTAGGACAGTCCCCGGTTAGTGTAGAACTATTGTAAACAATGGATAAAATTGGGAACTATAGATGACTATGGTGCCAAAACAATGTAATTATTACACGTAAAAATGGCAGGTGGAGATTTGCAAACTCATCGACCGGGCCCTGGGAATTGTTGCTAGATATAGCAAGAAACAATTAACGAAAATATGAGTGGTTGAAGGGTTAAGTATTTTATTATTAAGTGTGGGAAAGCCATGCTTCGGCACGAATGGGTCGGCTCGACCGGAGTGATACCACGGCCTCACAGAAAACCGTTGATTCACACGCTTGCATTGTGTTTCGTTGTGTAAGTGAGGTTCCCGGAGGCACCCCCCTCCCTAGTCTCCCAAATGCTGGGTAATGCTATATATAAAAAATATATTATGATACACAATATTCAAAATGGATAAATATTAGTAAATACTGAGAGTACCATCATTTGTATGGAAATCGCACTAATACATATTTGATAATAATAATATTACATATAATCCTTACTAATATTATTAATCGGAAAGTGAGTTTGTTTGTTTGTTCTGCTCTCACGCCGTAACTACTAAACCGATTGCTTTGTGTTTTTGCAAACGTAAAGTTATAAGTCTGGATCAAATAATAGGGTACTTTTTAGACCGAAAAAAATGATATTCAAGAGGGAAAACGAAATTATTGATATAGATGGCGCTGTGTATATTGGTATATGTCACATAGGCTACTTTTTATCCTTTTTTGACACGAGCGAAGCCGCGGGTAAAAGCTAGTATGTTTATAAACAACAGAGAATAGAACGTTACCAAAATCCAAATTAATTGAAGATTTTTTCCTTTTTTGAATGGCAATTTTAATCTCAAAATTAAGTTGCAAAGGTGATTAGGTAGTTGATTACAGGAAATTATTCAAAATATGTAACGTCTTACCGGTTCATTTAAAACAGAGATATATTTTATCCATAAATCAGCGCGGCAGGAGGGAGCATGACCTATCTATTGTGGCGAATACACACAATACGCGGTCTATGTCCGCCGGTAAATATAACGTTCCTAGGGTCCATAATTACTTTGGCGACAGAAAGAAATGTGTACCATATGTCCTTAGTTTGCCGGCCGACATCAGACAAGAAAATACTTGTGAATGTCTTGTGACACTGTCATTGTCAAATGCCAAATTTGTCAATGTCAATGTCACCAAAATGATATCGGCCTGCAAATCGGCCCCTCCCTCCCTTCGCCTACCGCTATCTTTCTCTCAGAAGTTGCAACCATGGCGGCCGGGGTAGGTTTAAACTTATCATAAAAAATCTTCGTAATCTAAACGAAAATAATATTAATATTATCAAAGAGACACACATTAGAACTATATTAATGTGTGTTATCTTTATTTTTATAGGTACTTTACACCTATCCAGAAAACTTCCGGGCATACAAGGCGTTGATCGCCGCACAGTACTCGGGAGTAGACGTGAAAGTGGCCCCTAACTTTGTGTTCGGTGAAACTAATAAGTCAGCAGAGTTCTTGAAAAAGTTTCCAGCCGGTAAAGTGAGTGCCTTTTTGATCGTAAATGTGAATGTTTTGGAAACTTCCTGAAATTTCATTTTTAAAAAAGATGTGAGGATGACGTGTAGGTTTTGTTATAATTGTAGGTTCCAGCCTACGAAAGTGCTGACGGCAAGGTTCTACTATCGGAAAGCAATGCTATTGCTTATTATGGTAAGTGCACATTACTTTTGTAATTTAATTGTCAAACAGCTGCTAGTCACATAACCTAAAAATGTTGCGGTAGCGCTTTACATCTATAGTAAATTATGGAGTTAAGCTCATACCTACAACCTATATACTCATTATCTTCAAGTAGTGCAGAAGCCGGCCCATCTGTTAAATTACTTCCCTTGCATTAGGAGAGTCAAATTCCAATTAGATATCGATTGTAATATTGTATTGACTACCATTATTCAATACATCTTTTAACCATACTCTATTTTAGACTCCAGCTTTAATCCATTTATAATAGAGCATAGAATTTGAATCAATTTTATGACTTCAAAATCAAGAGTAAAAAAAAATAAAATTGCTATGGATTCCATGGTAGGAAATATCTTTGGACACACTAGCTAAACTACCTAACCTAACCCAAATTCCGAAATGTAACATATAAAAAAACCCAAAATAATTAGTTTAATTTAATCCTAAGTTGGTAATTTTGTTATAATATTATAAGCATTAGTCTATTTCAATGATTCAATGGGATAATATTAGGCATAGTCCTGTGTAAAATAAAGTAATTGATAAATAGAACTTATTAATACATATCGCACCTATGGTGCAATATCGTCACTTATGCAATTTTTGTCAAACCTTAACTGATGAAAGAATACTTCAAATTCATCTCTTTACTTGGTGCGTTATTTATTGTCATTTGTGTAGTAAGCAAACTGACATTGTGAGGGCATTACTGTCGTTATGGTTTTGGCGCTAATCTGGACGGCACTAGGAGAAACAATGTTTCATTGTTCAGTTGCGCGTGGGCCTCCGCAAAACATAAGTGAGGTTATAGCACCGGAGGTACGATATAGTAATTAATAATTATCTTATAATGATAACATCCCTAAAACTCAGTTTTAACAGAAAACTTTGTTATTGAGAAACTAATTGATGGTTAGGTTTGATTAGTGTACAATATTAAAATTGCATGTATTATGATTAAATGATGAAAATTTTCAGAGAAACAAATTAAGTAGGTATTAATGTTAAGTGTTGTAAGTATTTTAGGTATTGAGTACAGTATTCACTTGTATAGTTGTAAACAAAACTCATGACACAGGAGAAAATCAAAGTGTGAGCAACTATTATTTTTTATTGGGCCATTGATACTGTAAGATGCAGTGTATGGGAATAGATGTCGCTGATGTTGGTCATGTGTGGCAGTGTCCAACGCCGCGCTACGAGGCACGGACGCGGCCACGCAGGCGCGCATCTGGCAGTGGGCGTCCTGGGCAGACAGTGAGCTGCTGCCTGCATCCTGCGCCTGGGTCTTCCCATATCTTGGCATCATGCAGTTCAACAAACAGGTACAACTACCACTAGTACTTTATGTTACCTGTAATATTTTAATTTTATTGTAGTATAACATACCGTTTATAAATTGTGCTGTATGATGATTTTCGCTATCTAGGTGCTGTATTAAACATCGTGAGATGTAGCTCATACATGTGATCAGAGTTGGATTAAACCTAGAGGGCTTTAGACAAGCGTCTCAATAGCGCGCACGTATACGATTTTTTGGCACTGCTAAGATTCTATAGGCACGTGTGTCTTGGAGCGTCGCGGCGCCCTTCTCTAATCTAGCGGACTCGGCACTCGCCTAGTACGCCTTTGATGTAATACGAATCTGTATGAAACATTTTACTTAATATTTATAGAAATGTCAATCGTGATTACAGAACGTAGAGCGTGCGAAGCAGGACCTGTTGGCGGCATTGAAAGTACTGGACGCGCACTTGCTGACCCGCACCTTCCTCGTCACCGAGCGCGTCACCCTGGCCGACATCATCGTCTTCTGCACGCTCATACACGCGTTCCAGGTAAGGCGCGGCCCGCCGCCCAGCCCGGCGCGACCGCCGCCCAGCCCGG